AGATTCAGTTCAAACCACAAATCAAGAGTTTTTGAGTTTGGATATAAGGACAGGCACTTCAATGCTATTATTTAAAGACATTTCTTTTTGCACTACTGTAAAGGCATAATATTTTTTGCGGTAAATGAAGACTGCATTTGTAAATTTGAGAATAATATGTGATTTTGACTATTTTGTCCTAGAATACTCAGTACAAAGGAGACTACTGGGCAGAGCATACAACAATAAAACTGTTCTGGGAGGTTTTCCATGAGCTACCACTGGAAAAGAAGAAACAGTTTTTGTGTGAGTACAAATCCTTTATTCAAGATTTTATCAAGGTACCAATGCCTAATGGGGACCCCACAGCAAGTTACTATTGCTTTTACACATGGTACTAATTAAGCTTGAAAAAGAGGCAATCCTGCAATTGGAGATTTATGCAGCAATGTGTGCTTATTGGTCCTCAAAATCAAGTCAACTTTACTCCAGCTTTCCCCACCAGAGCTATTATGGGCTTCAAAATAAAATAGGGCAGGAAGGAGAGGTCAAATGAAGTAGAACAGTAGAGGATAAATGGAAAAGTATGCATAAGCTGTAGAAAAAAGTTAAAACCAAGAAGATACACTAATTTCATCTGTGGGGAATTTGCATAGAGCATGGTATCTGTCCAGAGAATTGTGAGAGATACTAAGGGATTCTCATATACAGTGGGACCTCTATTGAAGAGCATCCCAACTTAAGAGCATTTCGAGTTAAGAACTGTCATTTGGCTTAGATTAGCTTTGATATGAGAGCAGGATTTTGAGTTAAGAGTGCCAGGGAGCGCTAGTGCGAGAGTACAGAGCTTTAGGACATCAAGTGAGCAGACTCCATGAATCATGCTCTTGACCACCTTGGGGGATTGCTGTTCGCTTTGCTCTTGTCTGCTTTGAGATTGCTTGCTTGAATTATTTGATTTTGTGTGGTTTTTATTTGTGTGGTATGTTTGGCTTCATGAAGAGAGATAGCAAGAGAGAAAGGGAGGCTGGAATTAGTACAGTATGAAGAAAATGATGATGCTTCTGCCTTTTCTCTGTCTGCTTTGTGCTTTCTTGCCACAACTGTGTGCTTCTACCGTTTTCAAGTTGTTTTTACTTTTTTGTTTCATGTGAATGTTTATTTCCACATTTACTAAGTACATTTTCTTATTTTTTAAAAGTAACAAATTGGGGGCATTTGAGGGGGGGCGGCGGAAAGGATTAATAGCATTTCTATGTGAATTTCTGCCTTGAAATAAGAGTGTTTTGAATTAAGAGTCCATTCACAGAACTCAAACTTTTACGTTATCACTGTATCTTTATATATATATATATATATAAATGCACTGTTTCCAAAGAATGGTTTGTATTAGCCAATAGCAGCCAATAGTGAAAGGACCAAGGCAGAGACATCTCCAGCTCATCTCATTTGGGTATCAGCCAGCACGTCAACGACTTAAATCTAGAAATAGTTTTCTAAGATCTACAGAGACACTCGCTGGAACACCTCAGCAAGCGAGAGTCCAAAAGTGGCAGGCTCAAACCCAGAACCTCAACCAATGGCTGATACCAAATGAGAGACTCCCCCCTGGGCACACAGAAAACTGGGCAACTTGGAAGGCGCTGAACAGACTGCACTCTTCTCCACACTCGCATGTCGAAGATTCCACTTTGTAGCCCCATTTCTGGAGGTTGGCTCTGCATCTCGTGGTGCATTAAGTAACCTGCATTCCGTAATGAGATCACTGAGATAAAAAGTAGTGATTCTGAAAAATAGCAGTGCTATATGTTACATCATACTAATGTGTAAAAAGATTTCAAGTGCTTATGTTTGGATTTCTCTTATTTCATTTTTTTTCTCCTTTGCAGTATTTTTGACCGGTAGCGATCGTATTCCTATCCTTGGGATGAAGTGTCTTAGTCTTGTGATCCAGCCAACAGGAGGTGGAGATGAATATCTTCCTGTGGCTCATACCTGCTTCAATCTTCTTGATCTTCCAAAATATACAGACAAAGAAACACTCAAATCAAAGCTGATACAGGCTATTGATCACTATGAAGGCTTCAATTTAGTATAATTATGCAAAGCCTTAGAACGCCGTTTTTACATCTTGCAGTGACACATTCAGCGAATGGTCTCCTACTAAGCTGATTCTAAACATGCCTCACAATCTGATTCTCTAATGACAGTCAACCATCTTTACATGATTGAACAGTATTGATATCAATTCTGGATTCACGTTCTACTATCTTAATAAAAACGCAGCTTTGGAATAAAAACTGAAGTTTCACTAACTAAATTTTAGTACTTCACATATTGCAAAGTTATTTGCTGTGTGTGTGTATATATCAAAGATGTGCTTAATTTTTTTCTCAATCACTGTCACATTTACATCTTTCATTTTGTAAATAAAGGGATGGGGGGAAGGTTAGTAATACAATTCTGTGTTCCAATAGCAATAGATATCCTGTAGGGTATCTGTTGCTTGCAACTGAATTGGGTCTTCATTAAAACAACCCCTTCCCCCAAAAAAGTAAAATGATCCTAGCATCTCATCGTTTTTAATGAAAATCTAATGATAATGATAAAACATGATGCTGGAAATAGTTTCCAAAGCATCTTGAAATAAAAACAGCTACTGTTTACATAAACATGTCTGAGAAAATGTCAGAGGTTATCTTGCTGCCATTTAAAGGGAGCAAATTAACATAATTAAGGAATCCTATTATTTAATTGTGAAACTCAGCTCTTGGCAAACATATAATTAAAATAATGTTATGCCTGGTACCTCTGTCTAGAATTGTTCACTAAATCTCCGCTTTGCCTTTAACTTCAGGAGAATTGAGATCTTGTCCTCTGTTCTCACTCAAACGTTGGAAGAGCAGTTTTGAAGCTCTGGTTGAATTTTCACTTTTACAGACAATTTTTAATTGCCCTCTTAAAAAAACCCTTTTTTTGGACTACAGCGTAACATTTGAGAGGATCGCATTGAATTGAACATGTGGACTGATGGGGTGGGGGTAGAGGCCTAATTTCTTGGACGTTTACATGTTATTGATAGTATGTGACTTTCAGCTGTGAAACAAATATTTATTTTTTTTAGATTTATAAACTGCAGTGAAAACAATTCAAGCATTAAATAAAAATTCTTGAATGAAAGTGTTGGATTATGTACAAGAGCATGCATGGGGATGTTCATTCTTTACAAAACATGGATTCTGTTCAAAAATTACAATAAGGGAATTGTTTTGAACTTCAGATGTTCTTATACGGTGTAGCTGATGTCTGAAGACCTCAACAACATGTTCATGCTACATTATGCTTACATACTTGTGTGGGGTGTATTTTCCACAAATTATATAATCCTAGAGTTGGAAGAGACCTTGTGGTTCATCCAGTCCAACCCCCTGCCAAGAAGCAGGAAAACTGCATTCAAAGCATACCCGACAGATGGCCATCCTGCCTCCAAAGAAAGGGCTTCCACCAAACTCCGGGGGCAGAGAGTTCCACTGCTGAAGTCATACCTGACTGGAACTGAACTGTTTCCCAAGTTGCTTAATTATCTCTAATCAAGTATCTCTAATCAAATCCTGGGCTCAGAGATCATCTCGACTGACTTAAATCTTATATACTATTTGTAGAATGATAAGAGCAACTAGAGCTGTTGCTTTAAAAAAAAGCATGCAAGGGTGTAAGAACTGATACAAAGGAACTGGAAAGGGAAAGGAATAACATAACCGTCTGACAACGGTGGATCCGCGCTACTGGTACTTCTCGACCTTACCGCAGCGTTTGACACCATCGACTACGATCTAATGATTCACCGTCTTGCCATGTCCGGAGTTCGTGGTCAGGCCCTCAATTGGTTCAACTCATTTCTCCGGAACCAGAATCAACATGTGGAGTACATGGATCAAGTCTCCGATAGATCCCCCCTCCTATGTAGGGTCCCCCAAGGTGCAATTCTCTCTCCTCTTCTCTTCAACATCTACGTTAGACCCCTTGCTAATTTGGCTCGGAGTTTCGGCCTGGACTGCTACCAATATGCAGACGATACCAAACTCCTGTGTCTGGAGCCTGGAGCAACGTCAATTCAGACAATTTCACCCTATGTCTGGAAGCTCTGCCAAACTGGCTATGTGCTAGCAGACTGAAGGTGAACCTGGCGAAGACTGAGATTCTCTGGCATGGCCGCCCGGCAGGTCTGACTCCTCCATTACCCACCTTCGATGGTGCCAGGGTCCATTGTACCTTAGGGACCGCCTCTCCTTTTCCCATCATCGGAGGTCGCAACGATCATCCCAACGTGACTTACTCCATATACCGGGTCCTAGAGAAGTGCACTTGGAAAGGACCAGGCGCAGATGGGCTTTCTCTATTTCTGCCCCTGCCTTGTGGAATTCCTTGCCGCCCTACATGAGAGCCATGCGTGACTTAGGGCCTTTTACTCTCGCACTTAAGACCTGGCTTTTTACTAGAGCATTCGATCTCTGTTGATTTTTAATTTTTGTATGTATGTATTTTATCTTTTGTAATTTAGCTGTAAATCACCTGGAGCATTCTCGGATGGAGGGCGATTAATAAGTTATTGAATGATGATATAATAATTCTTATCTCTTAAAGAAGCGTAGTGCTTGTATGTCATATTAAAAGTTTAGGATTTTCAATGTAACTTTTGTTTGAGCTGCAAATTTCAAGAAGTAACATTTTTCATCTATTAAAAACTCTTAAAATGGCATACCAAATGGTTTATGCTTCAATGCCTATGAAACCGTATGATCTGTCATATTGGCTGAGACAGCTGAGAGTTGGCAGTTCAGAGGCTCCCTATCTATGCCTTAAAATCTACTGAGGTGATGGATGAAATACCATAACATACCCCCCACAAATTGTATCCTATTTCATCTCTATTGGTAAGAGGAGTGAGAGGCTTTGCATATATATATTCTTAACAGCAACTGAAAGTTAATTGATAATTTAATAGACTTTGAAACAGACCGTACGAGTATAAAACACTGGTTTTGTATTTCAAAAGTTGCAGGAAGAGAGCCAGGTCATTTTAAAACAGTCTTCTACAAAACATTTGCCAGTTGGTTACATAAAAGACACTATATACAATATAAAAGCAGAAAATAATCCACACTGTAAAAATAATTTAAAAACAAAATATTTCCATTTAAAATATTTCCTATAGCACAAATACATTTTGACATGCAAGCAAAGCTAACATATTGCATTCTTTAATGTAGTCCAGAAACTTCTATTATTTAGAGCCTGGGCCATGAGAAAACATGCCAACATTTTAAAGATGAACACAAAGGGCCATTCTTAACACTTTGTTATGCTGTGTTGCAGAATTAATTTGCTTTTAAAGGACAGCTATTTTACAATTTTTTAAAATGGAATAAATATTAATGCAATGCATATAAATGGTTTACTAGCCAGTAGAGCTCTTTTGGGAGAGTTAGAAGTGGTTTTGAGAATAAATACAGAAACTTAATGGACAGAGAGGAAACAAACAGTGGAGGATGGGAACTGACTGTAGTCAGAAACATCTGCACGATCTTTTTTTTAAAAAGGCATGCTTGAAGCAGCATTGGTACCAATTCAAGTGGCTGCTTTTTAAAAACAACACTGTACCTTTAAGTGGTATTAAATTCTCTGAGCATAAATAAATCCACTAGTAGTGTATTTTAAAATAAAATAGGTGAAAGTTTTCTGTGTTATACTGGAAGCATAAAAAGCTCTGTACACACATTTGTGTACGCTGTTTGGAAGTACAGGAACACTTTTGTAATTGGTAAAGACTGCTTCCTTGTTCTGAATATTATATACACACCTAATACATTTACAAATTCACATCTTGGCAGTGTAGACAAAGATATTGTACATAAAATCTTTTATATACTGACTTCCTGCATTAAATACCTATTTTGAGCCAAATCAAACCAAGTTTTAGAATTTCTTACTTATGATTTCCTTGCTACAATTTTGCAAGCCAATATTATTATATATACACAGGAAGATTTTTTAAAAACTAGCATTTCCTAGTTATCTAAATAATTGGGGGTTTTTAGGTATCACTGTGATGCTAAATTTACTTACAATAGGCTCACATGCAAATATGCCCAATATGAAGATTATTTTTTGTTGTTAAAAAATAGCTGCCATAGTAACTTTTGGGAAATAACCAGTGTTTAACAACAAATTATACAATAATCAAGTTAGCAGAGAGAGAAGCAGGCTTTAAATAAATCCAAATGTTACGAAGCAAGAGAGGCGAGAATACCATTCTTTGGTCTAGATTAGCTGTTCCCTTTATATTATATTAACATTCCAATGGCTTTTTTAACAGTTCAAAAATAAAATTAGGCTGACATTTGTTAAGCAAAAATACTGTATATACATACACACATGGATCACACAATTTAACTTAATAAAAGTGAATGCAGTGACAGTAAAAAGATACTTAGTACCTTCTTCAAAGTTCAAAATAAAGATTAATGTTGAGTGTGTCTCTATAGATTCTGATTGGAAAAGATAGAAAACTATGCATGAAAATCTACCCTAGTTGTTTACAAACATTACATCCTTAGGGTTTTCTTTGTTCTAAATTCAGTACACATTCAATCTGACATGCAAAACTGCTAATGCTGGTGGGAAAGTTCATGATACCAGTCAATAATTACAATTTGTCTGCTGAATGATCAAATCCTACAGCCTCGTTTAAAGAAACAGATTCATCGCCGGTTTCTTGAATGTCAGTTCCATCTTCTCCAAATCCATTCTCCTCTTCCCTGTCAGGAACATCATCATCTTCAATGCCGTTATAGAATTCTTCAAGTTCACTTTCATCTTCTACATCTAAACTCGGACTATGACAGGACCCGCTATCACTGCTACTTCCACAAGAACTGGAGGATATGACATCATCTTCAGAGTCTGAATATACCTCAGCACCATGGAAAATATAACGATTTGGTGGTAAAAACAAGTATTGGGAACCTGAAATATTAAGAACAATTATTTCAGTGTTAATAATTCCAAGACATAAAACTTGGCATATGCAATATTGAGATTATGTAATATTTTGTACTCTGTTCCTTTAAGTAAGTATACGTTTATAAGTTATTGTCTGGTAACTTGAAAGCAGCAGGGAGTTATAGTTCACTTTTGTCTCCTGCATTTCCCTTTTCTTTTTGCTGTTCAAACAGTCCTATAGCAATTTTACATTTATTATGCTGAAATTCCCCAGTTTTTACATTCTTTACTTTCCACCTGTTACAACTATTCCTTAGCTTATAACATTCATACTATCTACCCCTCTCCTTTCTTCCCATTGTCCAACCATAGTTAATAGGAAAATATGTGCCACTGTCTATCAATGTACATCACTCACCTTTTACTCATCCTCAATGGGTTGTGTACTGTGCTTAATACTGAAATACCCCCCAATATTATGCATGTAGATGTAATTTCTTTATTCTATTTATGACACTCTTAATTCAGTAACATATTCAGTCCGACAAGCTTCACAACTATTCTCTCAAGAGGCACTCTATATTCTGTACACATTCTATTACTTAGCCAAAAGAATGGCAGTTTCTGTGGTTTATTTATGAAAAACTTCTACAAAGTAGGCAGTATCATTTATTTCTATACAGCTTCTCTCCCCCCCCCCATCAAAAAAAAAAAAGATGTACCTGAATTAGGAACTGATGCAGTTATAGCATCAGGGCTTACTATTTAAAGAATTATTAAAAAACAGTTAACAACAATCATTTAGATGGCACAGATACATTGCAAGATGGCTATTCCATTCTTGAAATTGCTGCAAGCATTTCAGGCCTGATTCCACAACCCCCACTATAATGGGTCCTCCTCCTCTCTCTTTTATCTTGCCCAAGTTTTTAATTAGTCTTCATCAGTTTTTCTTTTAATCATTACATGTAGCCCGCCCATTGTCATTGTGCCTATTGTAATTTTATATTGCTATGTATTCACATGTTTTATGTAATTATGTTGTTGTTGTTTATTGTTTGCGTTTTCGATGTGCTTTCAATTTTATTTTATTGTAAATTGTTGTTTGGGCTTGGCCTCACGTAACCCATTCTGAGTCCCCATTGGGGAGGTGGTGGCAGGGTATAAATAAAGTTTATTATTATTATTATTTATTTATCTAAATGAGAATGCAATCTCCCACTCTAAACAAAATTATTCCAAGTAAGTTTTGTTTTACATGTTGTCATATTTTAAATACAATGGCACACTTTGAAATAAAAAGTAAATATACGTTTCTGTTTTAATACAATTCACAAATCAAGAAACCTACATCTTGTATGTAGCAAGCAGAAGATTGAGGCTAGTGGGTGTTAATTACAGATAGACACCACATTGGAAACCCTTGGTGTATAGATGTTCAGTGTGCTGATCAACTCAATCCCTACATGCTACAGAAGAAAATGTATGATAGTGTTGAGAACAACTCCCAATTAAGTTGAAAATGGTTCTGAATGAACTGCTTAATACTAGAGATATTTTCTAACATCGTGACAGATGCAAATCCTTACAAATTTTAAATACCAATAATTTATTAGATTCTTCTGACAACAATGAACTGTATTGCATTTATTAAAGTACTAGTAGTAACTAATGCCTTAAGCAACGGACTTCAGATTGGTTCCAGTGCTCCTTAAAATCATATCTAGAAATAATTAGCCATATACAAAAACCGCTTCTTTTTCTTATTTGATCAAACCTTAGTTTGTTGAGATGGTTTCAATCATGGAAACTATGGATTTCTAAAATATGGAGGGATATAGGTATGTGCAAACCTGAGGCTAATACTGTAACTCCAATTGAGGCAGGAGGATATAGTAACAAAATGTTTTTAACAAAATTTTCAGGAGAGATGTACAAATATTTTAATAACTGGAATTACACCGAAGTACAAGTCTTTAGTTTGAAGTACAAACTAACACTTACCATCAAGCCGCTTGCTTATCTGCTCTTTTGCACATCTGTTAACCCAGCACTTTTTCAGTGTTTCAACAGATGTTTTTTCACTTCTTTCTTTGTTTTCACCTTGGTTAGATCCCTGTTCCTTCACATGCTCTGGGTTTTCTAACTGGTCAGGAAGACTTTCAATACTTTCTAAACAGTTTTGTAGCTCTTGAGATTTTTCCTCAATACAGTTCTCTTTAGATTCCAAGGTAGCTTCAGAGTCTGCTGCTTTAAATTCGGAAGAGTGCTCTGAATGTACTATTTGAGACTCATGCGGTGCAATTCTCTCAGGCGAACTAGAATATTCAGAGATATTTAATGGTGTAGGTGGCAACTCTGATGGATGTATTTCAAATTCCTTCTGTGGTCGTGGAGGTTTCTCTGTAATTTCTGAAAGTTTGATTGAACTATTGCACAGTTTCGCATATTCACCACCTAATCTATGACATAATTCATTGATGATGACATCACAGTCGCCAAGGAGTTCCACATCAAAGTGTAGATGAGGCAATGGTTCCCTATTAATTAGAATCTGAGGCACTTCATGAGGGATGGAACCTACGTATTTAAAGGGGAAAAATAAAAACAAATAGCAAACAATGCACTGAATACCTATTGCCCTTAATAAACCTCACAATCTGTCATGGTTTTAATTATTTGCAACTCTATTGTCCTCCCATTCTGTTCTGCTCCCCATGGCTTCAGGGATGTGGCACCAGCGATCTCATCTGACAACCTCTCCTTCCCAAGAGTCCGCTGGTTCTAGAGATATTCATATTTCCATTACTTGATTCTCTAATGCTTCTACACTGAAAACCATTCCAAATACAATGACTCTCATAACTATACAGCACATTTGTAAGCTGGACTCTCCCCCTTCTCCTCCCAAACACAAGTAATCCATACTTACTTGGAATTAATGCTACTGGTCTTACTTTAAGCGAAGACCCAATAACAATAAGAAGGTCGACCTCATCCTTGTCATACTTCATGGCCCTATGAAATTGCTCAGGGAGATTTTCACCAAAGAACACTATTTCTGGCTTCATGATGGCAAGTGGTTCATCAGGTGGGCATCTGGGACATCTAGGAACAACCTATGCAGAAGCAATGCATTAATTTCTGGCTTCAGTTTTATAGGATCAAAAGGCTAAGGAAGATGCAGAAGCTTTAATGTCTGCCCATTAGTTGCATCAGATTAATTATGAAGGTCCAATTTCTACAAACAAATCTGAGACACAACATTTCTAGGTGAAATTTCAATTGTTGCCACATTGATTACAACATGCATTTACGAAATGTTTTCTGCACTCAGTTCAACAAAGGTATGAAATATAGAGAGCATTTTATCTAATGTGAAGTTCAAACTAATTTTTAGATTTGCCAATGTATAACTTAACTTTTTCTAAACTGCTCTCCATGCCTGCGTATCATGCTAAAATAGCTTTGAGAGCCAAAATGATCCAAGATAATACACAGAAAGACCTTTGCTGTTATCTGTCCCAATAGAAAGAAGTACAATTGCATGTTAATATGAGGTTTGTGCACGCTTCTTTTCTTTATGGCTGCATTCTCAATCTAAGATGCAGAAAAATATTTCAATAGAATGAAGAGTATGAATACATACTGGATATCTCATGTTATCCTATGTACATTAACTCCCATGTTATAAAAGAACTATAAGACAGCAGCCAAAAGACAGACATTTAGTTCCAATGATGTGTCTCACCAGTTAACAGTTGCAGGGTCCAAACAATGTTTCCCAAACTTTGGTTTTTCTGATGTTTTGTACTTCAGCTCCCAGAATTCCTGACTGTTCACAAAGTTCGTTGAAACTTCTGAGAGTTGAAGTCCTAAACAGCTGGAGGTTCAAAGTTTGGGAATCACTCATTATGTACCCACAGCTGATATCTTTCTTCCAATTCCCATTCACTTTGCATGTATTTAACCAACTGCCAGGAATTCAGGTTTGAGGAGAGGGAGCATTTAATTCTATCCTGTCCTCTGCTGGCCTATTTGAGCTTTATGCTAATTTTTAAAAAGGAAAACTACAATCAGAATCTGCTCATAACCATTTTAGTAATCTGGTAAGAAACGAGCAGTCTGCATTTCAACAATGGTTGTATATCAGGCAAATGGTTGTGCAGCAGGCAAATTCCGCTTTTCCATAGCAATTACTACCCTTGAAGCTCACCTCAAAAGACATAATAATAATAATAATAATAATAACAATAATACTTTTTAACCCACCCTCTCTCCCCAAGGGGAGGCTGGGCAGCTTCCAAAGTAAAAATGGTAAACATTCAATGCCGGTACAAGACATAATAAACAGCTGACAGATAATTAAGGGAACATCAATATAAAACATCATATAAAACATATAACATAAAACAAATTTACGCAGATTAAAATGCATACAAAAATATAGGTTTCCAAAATTTAGAATACCTGTTGTCAGCATTGTCGTAAAATAGAATCAATAGAAATCTACTTTCCTTCCTCTCCTAGTTCACATAAGTGAGTTTTCAATTTATTTTTTTTTAAAAAGAGAGGAGTGATGGGGCCATTCTAATTTCTTTAGGGAGGGCGTTCCAGTGGGATGGGACGACTACGGAGAAAGCCCCCTCTCTCGTTTCCACCAACCGTGCTTGAGAAGGGGGTGGGACAAAGAGCAGGACTCCCTCTGTTGACGACAGTGTCTGAACAGGTTTATACATGGGGATGTGATTTGTCAAATAGTCTAGGCTATTTCTATGGTTTTATTTACAATGATGCATCATTCCCTCTATTCTTCTTCATCTAGCCATTTTCTCTTGATTCTGAGATATTTTCTTCTGCCATTTTTGTCTCTGAACTCCTTGCCCTTTTATTTTTTTATATCCTGTAACATCAGAGAACTTACATAAAACTGGTTCCCTCATAGAACTCATGAATTATTACCCTGGCCATGCCAAAAAAAACCCTCCCTTTCCTCACAAAGAGAGGAAATTGAAAACATTTATGCTGCTATGATCACATATTATTGCAATGCTGGTGAAAATTTCACTCCAGTACAGCCACTCATTCTCATAGGCCTTAGCAATTTATTCATAATACAACTTATGTTAAAAGAAAAATAATTGCACAATTAGAAGGACCTGAATCAGTTCAACTGTTAAACCAATTCAGAATCTAAAATTCAAACAAGGTCTATTTTCTAGTAACATAATCCCCGTAGCTCTACTGCTGTGACAATCTTTCAGCTATCTTTAAAAGAATGTGTCTCTTGTCCCTTCACCCCCATCCCCAGTGCTTTCTGGGCTAAGTATAACCGATTCCTTCAAGCTTTTCTCACATAATTTGTTCCTTATGCCAGTAATCACTTGATCATTGTCTTCCTCTGAACCTGCTCTACATTCAAGGTATATCATTTAAAGTATAGAGTGTGTAGAAACACACAGTGTAATATATCATATAGTTCTACTATAAATCAAATGCCTACTTTTAGTGTGACCCCAGCTTAAATAATCAGTTTGAGTCTCACTGAAGGACTAGTGGAATATAAATTTAATCAATGCATTGGTTTTGGAACCCACAACTGTTTTTGTATAACCTGGAGGTGTGGCCTAACAAATAACAACAAAGCTTTCTAGATACTTGAGCAGTAAAAAGAAAAGTTATTTATTTGATCAATGATAAACTTTGAATGTTTTATGAAAACTTGGAAAGCAATGCAATAATAAAATATTTATTCAAAACTCAACTAAGCTCAACAAATCTTACTCTTTTATTAGAGAAGCCTAAATGTACCTGACTGAAATTTTAAAATATATATTTCAACATGAACTGCATTAGCATCGTTTATTGCTGCCGTGTCCGTTCAAATAGTTTTTAACTTATGGCAACTCTAAGGAGACCCTATCACAGTGTTTTCTGGGGATGAAATTGTGTGATTTTCCCAGGGTCACTCAGTGAGTTTCCATGGCAAAGCAGGGAATAAAATCCTTGTCTCTAGAGCCATACTTTAACACTCAAACCACTACAAAAAATTCTTAGCATTTCTTTAGCATTCATACCTGATTAAAAATATCTCCTCGAACAACTTCACAATCAACTTTGTATTTACAGATGAGGCAAGAAGCTGTTGCAAAGGAACCTGAAATATATATAGCAGGATATGAAGTAAGATATATTTGAGTATCAGAGGATATCACAAATGTATCCTAAGTTTAAATACTAACTGAAATAATTCACAACCTATTTTGGTCAGAACCCATGTGCGATTGTAGATACCTTGACTTTCCAACATGCTTGCACTTCAGTATTTCTTCTATAATTTCCTTCTATAATTTATCTCTGTATTCAAAGACCACTACCTGTCACATTCGTTTTTTAGTATGTAGCCCAGACAAGGAGATAATGGGGAAGAATGAAAATCATAAATGTTTCCTTGCATCTTATCTCAAAATCACAATTTCACTTGAAAGTTTGCATTCATAAGTACCTTTATTCCTACTTAAATAATCAAAACTAACTTTCATGCAGGCTGTACTCTATAAGTGTAGATTAATATGCAGTTCTATGAGGGCCAGGGATTCTAAGCAACATTAACTGAGGGGCATGAGGAACGAAACTGTGATAAAGTAAGCTAGTAAGAAATTCACTTCCAAGCTCTAAATCTCAACTCATCTAGTGCTGAAACATTTCAATAATACCCACAGCCAGATAAACACAAGCTATTAGAGATTCAAGCAGGCCAAAGTGTATTGCTGTGCTGATTTTCCAATTAACCATTTCTTGTCTAATTACGTCTCTGGGAGGCTGTCCAAGGATATATAAAACCCATGCTTATCTGTGGGTGGTCCTCTGATAGGCATAAAACCACCAGCATTGCATGTGTGTGTGTACAAACACATTTCCAGATATGCACTCTCTACACACAAACAAACACACACAAAGTTGGCTCTTTGTATCTGCAGATATTACATCCACAGATTCAACTATGCATGGATTGAAGATATTCCCTTTCAAAATCCCAAAGGCAAACCTTGATTTTGCCATTTTGTATAAGGACCAACATTTTACTAAGCTATTGTATATTATGGGATGAGCACCCAGGGATATGGGTATCCAAGGGAAATCCTGGAAGCAAACTCCAGCGAATACTATGGGTCCACTGTGGTCATAACTAATTATCGTATTTATTCAAATCTAATGCTCACTTTTTTGGCTAAATTGCTTTCTCAAGGACATCACCTCTAACTAAATAGCCAGGGCTCAAAATGCTATGTAATCCTGAGATTTGTAGTTTGCTGAGGTACCAGCATACTTTGACAGAGTAGTCTCAAAACCTTATCAAACTACATCCCCCAGAATTCCACAGCATTGAACCAAGGCAATTAAAGTTGAACCATTCTACAGCATAGATGCACCCCAAGGTTTTCTTTTCCCACCATTGGAAGCTTTGGTGTTCTAACACTTTTGTTTAAAACAAATGAAATCTAATTTGCAATTTGGCAAAAAAAAAAAAAAGCCAATAGGATTTTGGCCTGCATCAATAGGAGCATAGTGTCTAGATCTAGGGAAGTAATGCTACCCCTCTATTCCGCTTTGGTTAGACCACACCTGGAATATTGTGTCCAATTCTGGGCACCACAATTCAAGCGAGATG